CAGCGGGGACACCCCGGGGTGGGTGGGGAAGGGAAGGAGGGAAGGGATGGAGAGATGGATGGAGACAGAGATGGAGAGAGAAAATAAAGAAAGAGAGAGTGCGACAAAGGGTGCCCTCCATGTGCACGGCCATGCACGGCCACCGGGTACCGCCGGGGCCCCAAGCCCGGCTCCTCCGAGCAGACCTTGGTGTCCTTGCCACCTCCAGAGCAATAGCCTTGTATCCCACCACCTCCAGAGCAATACCTCTGCGTCCCCAGCACTCACCATTTTCTCCCCCCCATGAAACCCGGGTGAAGGTTTTGGGCTGTAGCTTCCCAGCACGGGTACCCGCAGCTGCAGCTGCGGTTCGGCAGCGTGACCTCCCAACCGAGCTGAATTTAGCAGACAGCTTTGCAAAAAACGAATAAAAAGCAAATTGGAGCAAGCAAGCCGGGTTCCTTCTCCCCTGGAAGGGCGATATTGATTTATATCGATTTGTTCTTTTATTTTTAGAGGGGATAAAACCCAGAAGCCTGCTCAAAAAAATGTCATTTGAGCCAGAAGGGAAGTGGCTTGAGTTTTCCCTTTGCTGAGAAAAACATTTAACGGGTTATGTGGGTCTTGGATGATCCGAATGGATACAAAATTTTCCTCTTCACCTGGCTTTCGGGTTGCAAGCTGGGCAGGGCTGGCACAGAAGAGGGTTTGCTCTCGGCTGCTTTCTCCACCTCTCTGGACATGCACTTGGGCTGAGGCCGGGCAAACTCAGCTCACATAACCCCCGAAGAGCAAAGGTGTTTGTCTCAGCCCGGCCACCGGCTTCCCAGGCAACGCGGAGCTTTGCACGGAGCCTGAGCGAGCAAAACACCAGCCAGCACATCCCTTCACTGCCCCCCCGGCCAGCTGCACGGGGTAAATGCAGGTTTGCAAAGAGCTGCTCCAAACAAACCGCATTTGTTTTTTGGCACGAAATTAAAAAAAAAAAAAAAAAAAAAAAAAAAAAAAAAAAAAAAAAAAAAAAAAAGTGGAAGTTCACCCGTTAGGCTGCTTCCGAGTTGGAGCCCCAGCTGAGCTCGGGCCTCGAGTTACTGATTAAACAGCCGAGAAGCAGTTTGCAAACTGGAGCGTTGCAGCTCTTGCGTGCGTCACCCTGGGTCTGCACCCTGGAAAGGTCCCAGCGTGGCTCCGGGGGGGGGGCTTCTGGAGGGGCAGAGGGGTTGGGGAGCGGCTGGGGTGCCCGGAGGGTCTCCCCGGCTCTGCCCTGCGAAGGCAGGCAGGGTGAGGAGCAGACCTGGAAGACGCTGCAGGGAGGGGAAGGGGTGGGTGGGTCCGGCTGCGGATGTCCCATACATCCCCGTGCGTGGGGCTGAGGGTCCTGCCCTCCCCACGATACCTACGGGGTCGTAGAGCCGAGACAGCCTCTAACACGGCAGCAAACAGGATCAGAGCATCCCTCATCTCACCCAGGGCAATGCAGCCAAACCTCGCGGCTGGCTGCCTCGGCACTGGAGCGGATGGGGAGCGCCGGCGCGGAGCCCCGGCAGCACCGACCTGGGGTGGAGGCAGCGAGGATGGGCTGCTGTCACCCTTGCAGGGCTCAGGGGAGGCTCTGCCCCACGCCACAAACCTGAACCGCAGGTCCGGGTTGCAGCCATCCCCCCAGCACCGGCTTCTGCAAAACCAAGCGCCGACGCGGGGGGGGGGGCGGGACGGCAAGAAAAGCACGCAGCAAGGAGCTGCCAGCAGGAACCCTTCCCGAGGCCGGCTGCCGAGGTTTTCTCTCCCCGTTCCCCCGCTTCCCCTTCCTCACTGAGATTTGCACCAACATTTGCACAGCGCTTAGAGACGGCTTCACTGTAATTACAGCCCCGCACGAGTTTGCGCGCTAGCGGGACGCTGCGTGCTGCCTCCTGCGAGCTTCGTCTTTTTAAAGCAACTCTCCTGAGTCACTGGCCTAAAAATACGTGCGGCGTAGCCTGGCACTTTCAGGTCCGTACAAAGGGTTTTGCTGGCAGCAGTGCAATGCGTGGACGGCCCAGACTTCGTTCTCCAGGTTTCTCCAAGGGAACAGGGAAAGAGGCTCCGCAGCTCCCATGGCTGCGATGGAGCATTGCTACGACAGCGATGGGATGCTGGGATGCTAACCTTGGACCTGAGCAAGGCAGCAGCGCTGAGCTGGGCACCCTCGCCTCCGGCATGGGCCGGCACCGAGCCCAGCCACGCTTACGGGCACATGCACGTGAGCTCACACGTGTTTTCATACCGGGTTTTGGGTTGGTGTTTTTTTTTTTCTTTCCCTCGCAGCAGTGTCTCGGGCTGCACATGGAGGGTCTTGCAGCAACTCACATCCTTTGCAGAACACCCCTATGGCCGGCTCTCTGCAGGTGATGCGCCTTTTAGCCAGGCCCCCTTCTCATGTGGGCTGCAAGGGCTGGCCAAAGCAGGGACAAGCAGGACATCCCCCCTTGCCCTGCCCTGTCTCCGGCCATGCCGGGGAAGCCGAGGCCACCCCTGCAAGCGATATCATGGATGCTACGTGCCTGAGAGACACCAGCCCTCAGACCGCATCCACGCAGCGGCTGCCCAGCATCACGCTGTGCTGGACGAGTGTTTCCTGCTCAACCATAGGCTCAAAGAGCAACAGGGTCAAGCAAAATCAGCAGTCCCCCGTCCCAGCTCAGCAGCAGGCGCAGAAATGCTCCGCTTTCAGGCTTTCCCGTCCCAGCTCAGCAGCAGGCGCAGAAAAGCTCCGCTTTCAGGCTTTGCTACAGCTACAGCTCTTGCTGCTCTGCAAAAGCAGCTGGTACCCAAAGAACTTCTCCTCCCAGAAATATCTAAAATAAAGATCTCTTCTGCTAAATAGCTAAAAAATGAACCCTGCGTCCTCTGGGTCTCAGAGGGAGCCTCCCAGGGGGGGTGTTGGGGTGGGGACGATGGCCCAAGCCAGCCCCTGGGGAGGGGGAGCTCAGCTCTCTGTTGAGAGGGGCAGTTGCATGAGCAGCACATGCTGCACATGTGCCAGGAACGTTTCACTTCGGCTCTTCTTCTTTTTCCCCACTTTCTCTTCATTTTCTATTTTCTTCCTCCAGTCCCATTCCCATGACACGTCCCCTCACGCTCTCCACGTGGTGATGGGGCTGAGCCCACGGGGCCAGGGCTGGGGCCAGGGCTGGGGCCAGGACTGGGGCTGAAGGTCCCCTCTGTGTCCCTGCCCCGACGAGTGATGCTGCTGGGGAGCGGGATGCAGAGAGCATCTTACAGACAGCATCCCGCAGAGAGCATCCCGCTGCCCCTGAGCTGCGCCTCCGACCGTCGCGGCCGGAGATGGACAGGGCTGGAGGCAGCCAGCGTGAACAAGGGCACATCCCGCATTTTGATGACCCCTCAAGCCCAGCGCGGACACGAGGGATGGCTCCGTCCCTCCAGCCGAGCACCCCGCAGCCTCCCAGCCCCTGCACGCCCCAGGCTCATGCTCTGCCCTTGCACATCCCTGCCTTGCCTGGGTCAAGATGCCCGTCCAAAATAAAGCTGGCAAGCGCAGCGAAGGCAGTGCCTGCACCCTGCCTGCCCTGCAGCTGTGCGGTGCCTGGGGGGCACATCCCCGCTGCCCCCCGACCAGGCATCCCTGGGGCCATTTGGCTGGAGGGGACATGCCCCGTATGGACCCGGCCATACTCTGCCTCTCGGCTTCAGGGCTGGAGAAGGGGCCTTGGCCACAGCCCGAGCCCCCCCGTACCTCCACCCCCTGCCCACTCGCCTCCCCTCCGGCGTGGGGACGTGTCCCGCGGGAGCCCAGCTCTGTTCCCAGCCTTGCCAGACACGTGACGCAGCCCCAGCCGGGCACACAGGGACGGAGGAACCCACAAAATGAAACCGAGAGCTTGCACTGCTTCCACCGCCACCAACATCCCCTTGCTGCAGCCTCCGTGTCCCCCCCGGCAGCCCCTGTTGCCTTCTCCTGTGGGTGACACCCCAAAAGGTCCCCGCAGCGGCTCACCTCCCGTCCCATACCTCGGCACAGTCCCAGACCAGGAAGTTTCTCTGGTCGCTCCCACACTCTCGGAAAAGTTTTGTGCCCCGGGTGCAGCTTCCTCCAGCCCTGCCCCGAACCCCAGACACACCTGGGCTGATGGCCACGGCCACAGTGACACACTGAAACCCCACCGAGCCCCTTCTCCAACTCAGTGTGATGAGTTTGCACGTGCTCAGCCCCTCACCCACCTCCTCGGGGTGAGGCTCTCCGTCCCGCCGTTGCACCCCGGGGCACCCAGGCACCCAGGGAAGGAAGAGCAGGAGGAAAGCGGCACTTACGGAAAGCGGCACTTACGGAGAGTACGGAGAGGCGGCCGTCCCCACGCCGAGCCCGCACTGACCGAGCCGGCGCTTCCTGCCGCAGCTGACAAGTGTGCGCAGAGGCATTTATTTGCATAGCACCCAGGCAGGCAGGGCCCACGCGCAGGCACGCTCACGCACATGCCGCAAGCGGCTGCTTGAGCTCGTCATACAGATGGGGAAACTGAGGCACGGCTCACCCAGCCTGGGGAGACCAGTTTGGGTGGTCCCACTGCGGGGCGGCAGGTGCAAGGCAGCAGGCAGAGCCGGCAGCTCGCGTCCCTCTCCTCTGCAAACCCCAAAGCCCAGGTCCCGCAACCTCGAAGCGCCTGTCCCAGGGGGAATCCAACCCGAGGACCCTACAGGAAGCAGGGAACGGGGACAATGGTGACCCGCGACTTACCCCGGCCACCCAGGAGGGTCTCCAGCTGCCAGACCAGCCCGTGGGCTCCATCATCCCTCATGCCGGCACCCAGCGCCTCCCTCCCCAAACCATCCCGCCCCTTCTCTCGGTGGCCGCCAAGTTGGATCCCGGCTCCATCCAAGGAAAAAGCAGCCCTGGGAGCAACCCCGTCTCCGTGGTCCCTTCCCGGCGCGGGG